TTGGTGAAAGAAAAACAAAGTCTCAAACAAGACAGTTTTTGGGTTATTCGGCTAAATAACCTATTTAGGCAAACAGGCAAACAACCTAAAAGACAAAACGTGAAATAACCTAATAGATAGAATTTAACCTTAAAAACTAAAACAACCTAATAGGCAGGAATTAGCCTAACCAGAGCTTTTGGGTTACTACACGAAACGCTTGCTCAACCGCATTAATGCTCTACCCGCTGGTAATGTTTATCACCCTGTTTATCACCCTGTTCAGATCGAAGCACAACAAGATGTTTCACACGTCAGACAGATGTATCTAAGTACGTCCATGTTTGACAACGCAGTCATTTTTCGTGGTAGTTTTCAGTCCTTACGCGTTGAATACCGCCACACACACGGCGTACTCTTACTTTGGAAGAAGAAGGATATGTCTCATGTTTTTCTGCGAGTACATCCTAGAGATTTGTCGCAACTGATTGCTAGCCACTGGTCAGCAATATTGTTTTGGAACAATGATGGAAGTATTCCTACAGACAATACCGACAACACTCCTGAACAGAACACCAACATCGACCCTCCACCGGGTCTTCCACCTCAGCAGAACAACAACCAAGATGATGACAATCCGCCTGAACCGTTTAACACTCCACCATCATCACCACACCTTCCAGACGTTCCTATGCCAGATGAACCGCATACGCCGAATCCCGGCTTTCCTCCTGATGATGATCAGTTTCACACACCATTCCATTCACCACCACGACCAAGTGATGATACACCAGATGATGAAATGCATTCACCACAAGATGAACCACCTGATGTACCACAACATCCATCATCACCACCGGATCATCCTCAACCACCATTTCCTGGAGCCACTGGCGTTATTGTGCCCAATACGATTATACCACCAAACATTGAAGACACACCAATGACACAGGGTACCAAGCGACCGCCTGGTGATCCACCGATACCACCTGCAACTAAGGCTCGACCATCTAGACAAATGCCTCCTGCGTCTTCAACCCAATTTCAGCCTAGTAACCATTTGGGGGGTGATACACAGCCATCAGTCACACCAAACGCGACCACACAACCCGCTGTAGTCGCTCCGAGTACTTCAAAACCGAAGAAACCCAAGGATGATGCTGTGCCTGATGACTTTGATGATGACGAGCCTGACCCAGATGCAGGACCATCAGGTCACAATGGACCACCGATACTTCCGCTAGCCGCTAGACGGAGATGAACTTTTTAATCCTTCACCCATGCCGGAGAATGATCCGCAACCGGACACCCAAGATCAGCAAGAGCCGCAAGAAGAAGAAGAAGAAGAACCAGAAGAAGACACAGATGAAACAATTCCCTATCGTTCTACCGATACCGATGAGACTCTTGACTACAATGATGATCTTGTTATTGATGATTCAAAATGGTGTTTTCTGTCACAAGAACAGAAGTTGTGCAGTAACACTGCATCATTCTCCGTGCCCAGATTGATTGATGGTTCACCCGTAGAATTAAGCAGTGTTGAATCTTCCAACTCCATTGGTATGTCTTATTCCGTTGTTTCGGAGAGACAACGCACACGATGCCGTAAGACCAGATCTGATATCATTGAAGAATACCACGGCATTAACGATGAAGATAAGGCTTTTATGACATTGTATTCGATGACTGACAAATTTTCTTATCTTGTTGGCAAGAAGAGAAAGGAAGCCACTCAGCAAGAGAAGAGACAACTTGCCAAACAGTTTTTAGATGCCAAAAAGGCTGAATGCCAATCTTGGATTGACAATGAAGTTTTTGATCTTGTTGACATGAGAAAGACCAGAGTCAGAAATTTCGTAGCCGGAAGATGGGTTCTTACCGTGAAGAAAGACAAAGATGGTAACTCTCAGAAGTGTAAGGCTAGATGGGTCCTCAAAGGTTTTCAAGATAAACAGAAGAACACCCAGCAAACAGACAGCCCTGCAGCATCTCGTGCAGGTTTCCGATGTGCCACACAGTTAGCCGCAAATTACCGCTGGGATTTGTATCAGATGGACCTTAAGACCGCTTTCCTCCAAGGTGAAGCCTATATGATGAAACGCGAGACATCATTTGCCAGATACCACCCGAATACGGCTACCCGCCGTATATCGGTGCTAGGCTTAAGAAACCTGGCTACGGTCTTAATGATGCACCACGCCGTTGGTGGCAGATTATTGATAAAGCCTTACTTGATTGTGGATTTGTTCCCACACGCGCAGATAGATGTACATATGTTCTGTATGACAGTACTTCCAAGACAAAAACTTATCAACCACCTTGCAGTGTCAGTACTGAACAGGTAACCATTTCTGAAGCAATTGACCAACTTATGGATCCGGTAGCCCGCAACAATGCCCAAGGACGCCGACCTCATGGTTTTATTTGTCCAGTCGATAAGGTGTTTGAGTCCAAGGTTTTGTCCAGTCTGCGTAAGAACTTTGCGGTTGGCTCAGAGGACAAGAATGACATTATGTTTGTAGGACAACGCATCAAGTGGAAGACACATGACAAATTTGGACCCTACATTTCTGTTGACCAAAAACTTGCTGTCGATGCCGTTGAAGAAGTTTAGATCGATAAGTCGATAAGTCCTTGAAAGACAACATTCAGTGTAATCCACAACTTCATACGGCATATCGATCAGTTCTTGGACAGCTCAACTGGTTACAGAGTAGGACACAGGTTCACATTTGTTACAAGTTTTCGCGTTGTGCCTCAGCCGCTGCTAGTCCGACTTTTGGTGATGTCAGGGAAATCAACAAAGTTGTTCGCACCCTCAAGAGTCAATATGTTGACGGCAGATTTTGGCCTCTGAAGGGTTCTCAGCGTATCCTTGGCATGCCAGATTCATCTTATCGCAACAATAGCGATAAGTCTAGTCAGCGTGCTCATGTCATTTTCTTAGCCGAAGACCGCAAATTGCCTTCCAAGGGAACATGCCGCAATTCCGGTTACGACAAGCAAGCACACCGTATAAACGGTTCTGAATCAGCAACCCGTGGATCGATCATTGATTATGAAAGTCATAAGATAACAACAACACAATCCACTACTGTTGCAGAATTGAATGCTTTAATGAAATGCTTCGGTACATGTTTGTTTTTGCGTGCACTCTGGGCCGATATTAGCGGCGAGATCCTTCCGATTCACATCAGGACAGACGCAAACAACTTAGTCACCACTGCTCAGACCACACATCTACCCAAACAAAAGGAAACCAACATCTAATACAAATGTTGAGACATGAAAGTAACACCGTTCATTTAGACGACTTGAGTCACATTGCAAGTGAGATATTGTCTGGCAGATCCACTTACCAAATCAACCGCTAAACTAAACCAGACCAACTAGTGTCGTCCATTACAACTGGCAAACTCGAGAATGTAGATGTACATCCGCCATTCCGGTCGTTACTGAAACACAAGGCGTTTTTGACAACATGGGTCATTGAAACTTTGTCTGAGCCACATAATGTGTTGACGTTTTTCTGTGAAGACATTTCAGACTATGTTTTTGCCATGATGTACTTTGAAGAGTGAATTTTCTTCTCAAGAAAATTTGTGTCTGCAATCTCTCGGCTCACAGGGTTCACTGCTTTTGTACGATTGCCGGACACGAACGTCCCATTGGCACCTGTTTGATCTCACCGAACCTTTGACCGCCGAAGTTGGACCTACACCTTGATAAATTTCTCTGATTGTCACTGACACGAAGGAGCGACGGCCTGAAGCTCCAATCTTTTTATGCCACCAAAGTTCTCAAAACCTATCCGAACTGAACACTCCGCATCTGCGGATCAGACACCTCGTGGTTTTCGAAACCCGAGGGGCCAAAGACCAAAGCACACGCCGCGCGGTGGACGTTCCGAATTTTCGGACAGACGCCAGCCACGTGACAAATCCAATTTAGAGCAACGCACTCGTATAATCGAGGATGCCTTTAATTCTGATATTGATTCAATTCGAACTAACAATCTTTGTTTTACTCAATGTATTGCTCAGGTACTCCGAAAGAAGTCAGGCATAAGAACCAACGAAGACCATGATGCCGCATTAGCGGACTACTACTTTGAACTGGGTTCCCGCCATTTGTCGTATATCTTTCGTCATACGTATTTACTTCATGAGGACGGGTCCCTGTCGTTGCACGAGCTTCTTTATATAACCAGGCAACTGCTCGGAAAATTAGAGCCATGTATCGAGAAGGACTTCAATCACTTACTCAACTGGACGTTGGTGAAGTTCCTATTAGCCTCCGAGACCGGAACAATACAATGCGCTTCCTAATGCCACTTGCTCATGTCGTATGCGACTCCAACAAGTCCAGAGCCATGATCGGTTATTTGACCACCGACAACTTCGAACCAGGAAAGATTCCGGACCCGGATACCTTTAAGCCTTCCGATTTCGGCAATGACCAAGCTCCCGAGGCGCAAGCTGACGTACTTGATGGCATTGATGTAGCAAGTATTTTCCTCAGGTTCGAAAGTGGTCATTCCTAGAGCGTCGTTCGTGCCAACTAAGTTGGTACATAGCTCCATTCGACCCTAGTAGGGACCCAAGTAGGTACAAATGGGCTGGTGCCCAATTTTCACGCATTTTCTCGGCCAAATGGGTTTCAGTAACCTCATGATCCTTGGTAGTGCTGCTGAATTCTATGAGAGCATGGAGCTCGCCAAAAACTGCAGAGCATGCATTCACCACAATGCAGCAACTATATATAGACCGTAACTTGGAAGTTTCTCTTCTATAACTTGGAAGCTTCTCTTGTAACTTGGAAGTTTCTCTTTCCAAACATAAATTCATCTAATTCATACATATATATATATATATTATATAGTTGGGTTTGCAAAACATGTAATTGTTGAGAATATGTTCCATATCTAAAGATACAATACGTATACCAAGGGTCCACCATAAAGCACAAACACGGTTTAATCTGTCAAACCCTGCACACCTTCGCAATGGTTTCTTCCAACCAGCGCATGTCCAGGAAAAATCTCATATTCAAGAGATTTTCTTTTTCATTTGAACCGGTAGTCCCAGCAACCACCGTCTTAAACAGTTCGTTGTTGCCTGGCGCTTATGGGTGCGCTTCTTTATACGAAAAAAAAATTTGATGGCATCTTCATCCATCCATGTGGACCCCAGAACAGGGTTTATGGAGCTGGGCCTTTCTTGGATACATATGTGGTGAAACATATGGATTTTAGGGCGTGTTCGCCACAATTTTTTGTTTTCGCTGACAGCTTTGGCTGCCAATTTGACATAAACATTCATGAACAACTGGCCGACCACTCGTCGATGTTCTTGCTCTTCAGGGGTCAGAAACGGACCAGCATGATGAAGAAGTTTCAAAAATGAATCAGCTGCCCACAGTACAGTCGCCAAATCAGGGTCGCCTTAGATATGGGTATGTGGATGCTGGAATTGATGATTTGTTTTTCCACTTAATTATTGGAAGGAAAAAAACATAAGAATCAAAACAACTGGCCTGTGTTTAACATAGTCAAATAGTCAAGTGCTATTTGTGGAATTTTTGTACCAATTCAATAGTCAAATCCTTTTACCATCAAGAGAAGCAATCCACATAGTCAAATCACTCTATCAGAATAGTAGATCGGATCTTCTGGTCCAGTCAAATCATTCCTTCGATTTGTTCAATTAGAGCAATGATAGCAAATAATGCGTTTTGGAATTCCAAGGGCCAATCAAATGGTCAAATGGCGACAGATGGCGACAGATCCAATGTTCGAGTTCTTTGCATCGTAGACGTTTAGAATAACAAACATGATCAAACATGACTGCCTTAAAGATGGCTAAACATCAGCATATGACAGCATATGCAAGCCAAGGGCACACAAGATATCTATCAACCCCCCCTTCATTCATGCATTCATTCAAGACATACCACTACTATCCTGTTAAAAATGTTGATGCGAAAAGCTGGTTGAGCCCCAGTTTGACAATTCGCATTTATTGCAGTCAACTTTGATGCAAAGTGTTGTTTTTTTTCCAAGATGTCCATTTCTCTTAAAGGGTTTGATTTATGCTGAAGATCTTTGCAAGACATGATTAATGAGTAGATTGACGTTAGATGGACGTTTGGGTAGTCTGATGAATTGTATGTTGTGTTTGCGGTTTGACATTGAGCATGTATCTGTATCTCTATATGTATTTATAACTACATACAAACATCCATTCAGGGTCGGCCTACAAGGATGATATGGTGCACATAACAGGTTCATTGATTTCGCAATATTTGTTTTCTTAAATTTGCAGGGGATGTATACAGCAAAATCTACTGTTCAGCAACTCACAGCGACCTAATGATTATCCATGATTATCGTTTTGCAGTTGAACATCATTGCAAATATCATTGCGCAGGCCAAGCAATTCTCGGCACAACATTGTCTCTTTATGAGCCCTCAGATCAGCCACAAATAGTGAAAAAACAAATGTCAATCGAAGAGGTAGATTTTTTCAGAAACTGAAATAGGACACATGCTTAGAGGATTTGAACGCACATCACAAGTACCAATGACATGGGGCCCTTCCTGCAAGCAAAGCGGCCATTCAGAATCAAGAGCGAGAGAGAGAGAGAGAGAGAGATAGAGAGAGACAGATATGCAGGGCAGAAAAAAGTAGCCTTAAACAAATGCAGCAGTTTTTTGACAGTTAATCCCAAGTCAAAATTGAGGGAACCGTCATTGCACTGGTCAAATTCTCTTATAAAACAACCTGTTGATATTGATGTTTACTATGATACCAAAACAAAGAATAGGACGCAAACCAAAAAATATTTTGTAGAGATGGATCCTGCAGCATATGGCATAGCATTGCTCCCAAGTAGTCAGTAGTCATTCAGGAGAAAAGACAACATGACACAGTGAGAATGTCCCGGCATCAAAATACTTGTCCCCATGAATCACATACAGGAACCGAGACAGGTTAATTTGAAGAAAAAAGTGAAGCTCCTGCTGAGGAAAAATCACTTTAGCAAGCATAGAGTCTGTTGTTCTCCCCTGGCAAAGGTCCAGAACACCCACAATGTTGACCATATCTTAAAAGACCCTGGCAAAATAGTTGATTAGTCCAACTTGTTAGTTGTCATGCATCACAAATTATTGTGAACTATGAGTACTGAATACCAAGATGTTTGCTTTCCATGCCAGCCATTGTTAAGCAGCAGCATTAGATACCCAAATGAATGTCGGATGTTCCAACATCCAAAATCTTGCCTTTCAATGTTTTTGATCCTTAGCCTGCGTTGGTTTGCGAAGTGTTTGTCTGTGTGTTCCTTTATGGGCCTGGCGATGGCCTTGCCCTTGGTGTTCTTGGTCAGACGGGCATGACTTGACACTCTAACAAAACAAGGAATGAACTCACATAATAAAAATTCAACATATTGGCTTGAGGCAAATGACCTTTCAATACAAATTATGGGACGCCTTTCAACCTGTATAACATGATCTGTGAAAAAAAAAATCCGACTAGGCTGGCAAAGCCTGGGAGCCCTCCCCACCTTCAGGATGCGATACGTAGAGGCTGGCAAAGGTTGATAGTGCTGTCACTGTCTGAAGCAAACATTCCAAAAAATCCAAAATTCCAAAAATTAGATTGAGCTGCATTTAAGGTAATCACCGTTGGAAGGATAGGGACAAATTGTCCCTATCCTTCCAACACTCAATAGCGCTACCGACCGTTGCCAGCCTACGCATGACTTTCTTAAATGCAGGTTCCAAAAATTCCGACACGCTTAAAAAGGTCCAAAATCCATGGCCCATACTACGGTGAGGATAGGCTGGCAACACTCAATAGCGCTACCGACCGTTGGAAGGATAGGGACAATTTGTCCCTATCCTTCCAACACTCACTATCTTAAACGCAGCTCAATCTTAATTTTTGGAACTTTGGATTTTTTGGAATGTTTGCTTAAGCCAGTGACAGCACTATCAACCTTTGCCAGTCTCTACTTTTTGGATTGTTTCGGCATTATGGCAAAAGTCAATAGCGCTGCCGACTTTTGCTAGCCTCTACTTGTGCATTTTTTGGATTTTTGCAAAGGTCATTAGTGCTACAATTTTTCCAGCCTCTACTTCTTGCAATATTTTAGGATTCTGGCAATGATCAATTTGTCAATGGTGCAATGGTGCTACAGACCTTTGCCAGCCTATTCTTAAGTGTCTTCGCAATGAATTCTTGAAACTCACAGCAACTGGGAAGGGTCCAAAGCGCTCCCGACCTTTGACACTGTCAGGACAAAGAGAAAACAGCTTACCCCATGCTGGGAAAGGTTATTCTCTCAAGAGTAGTTTTTTTTGTTTTCTTCAGAAACTGAGGCTCCATGTTGTTACATATGCCATTTGAAGTTGAAAGACGCGTTTGTTGTCATGTTGATTTCTTCCTTTTTCACGTGCAGTACCATTCCACTCCCTTCCGAATACGAAGGCTAAGGGCAAGCCCACTGACCCATGTGATGCACGCGTGCGCACGAGAGAGAGAGAGATATATATAAATAATATACATATATATAGAATATGCGCATATAATCAATATACATATGTATTGGAATCCGTTGGGGTATTTGCCGTTTTCGCTTTACGATGGCACCCATGGAAAATGTCAGTGAACCTTGGTGCTGTCACAATAATTTGTGATGCCAACCGGAGACATCCCCCATGTATGCAATTTTTGGTATGGGTTGACCAAAATCTAGACCGCTTCCAACCTTGGCTAAGGACGGGATTTATTACAAGTCGTGCTGTGATCTTGAGAATTTTCTGAAAACACGAATGTTGTAGGCAGCAAACGGGCTGAAACTCCCGAACGCTGCATTTTAAGTTTCATAGATATATTGTAATATTTATATAGTTGTTTGAAACCTTCCTCAAACGCTCCAGAACGCTCCCGGCTCCTCTAAAGCAACCTTTTTCTTTAAAGACCCAAAGCATTCTCGAGCGATCCTTACTGACTTTTGTGGACCCTCCTTAAACAGCCCGAAGCATTGCCAAGTGCTCAAAAACATATGTTTCTAAAGGATTCAGCCTTCAAAATTTGAAGGCTACACTAGCATGGACGAAATAAAATAGAAAACACAATTCACTGATGTTTATAAACATCTGTCTTGAGCGAAATCGCGCTATCAAAGGCAGCATAGACAAAAACAACAAAAAGCATATCTAAAACAATCAGGAACATCTGGGATCTTCTCCTGTTTCTATTTCAACCCTGATCTGAACAGAAACAAACAAACTTGTGGTTAAGATTTCAATAGAGCCTATGCCCTGTCGAATGTGTTCAGCCCCTACTTCCTCAACAGAATTTGACGGAATAAGAACCCTCAACGCTTCCTGCACCTACAGAAGGTGGCCTAGCCTTCAAATATCACCTGCAGTTTGTCGCTCGCCAGAAGTGAAAATCGTATATAAATGTTGACGATGCGTGTTTGTGTTTGTTCTGTTATGGTGCAACTTCAGTCAACAGTGCTGATCTAATTGTTATCATTTCCTTTGTAACCTTGAAGTATTTCCTTTGCCTTTATGAAAGGCTTGCAGCGCCATACCCTCTGGAATTGTTTTGCCACTGACGCAGTATCTTGTGCTTTACAGCCACTTTATCCTGCATATTTGATGTCGTTGTTGAAATTTAGGCCGATTGAACTTATTGGTCGTCCCGATGACTGGTAAGTTAAGTAGTACTTTAAATTTTACAGACCAGGACCAGGACATGTACAATATATAGTTCTTTTTTCTTTAGTCGACTGTGTGCGTTGTGTTTGCATACATATCATATGTACTTGTACTGCATGTTTCACGTATGTTGGGTCCATTCTTATAAGGATGCGTCAATGCCCACCCATTTATGGTTCCCACTGCCCACTGACTCATCTACCCATTTTGATATGGCTCACAATTATAAATAAAAGAAACCATTTCCCAAAAATTACAGTGATTATTTGACTTTCTTAAATGCACCCCAGACAAATGCCAAAATGGGCAAAGTTCCGCAATCTCTGGATGTAACTTCTGAAACTAACCAGCTCAATATGACATAAGTGTCATACCCCTTGCACCGAACCTCTGGACACCGACCAGTGCCCCATCCCAGATTTGACTTTGTCAATTTTTTGAGTTGTAAGGACAGGCCATGGGTCTTCGCGTACCGTGCCAATCTCCGGCTGGCAGATGCCAATTGTTTCTTTTGGTTATTCCCAATCCAAAACCGACTTCGCACAAGACACTGGATAGCTGATGCACAAAGGTCCTTGGTGTAGATCATGAACAATCAGGGTAATATGATTTGCTGTACAATATGTAGTCGGGAAAAACCAGAAAATATTGAATCATTTTTGTTTTGTGGAAAACTGTGAAAGATTTGCATATAGGACAAGGATCCCTTCCGGTCCCAAGATGCCATATATGGAGTAAATCCATAGATATCATCAATGGAGAAAATCCCACCAGCTTGCTCAACTCGGGGGTATGTTCCCAAATTGGATCCAAACCAATCGTTCCCCTCCATGCTGCATTGGGATCGACGTTCACATAGCAATAATCTAGATCTTGTGACCCCTTTGAAGCCCGGCATGACCAGCATACCTGAGGGGAAAATTCACATGAATAAGAATCCATTGAAAAAAACATCTATTGAAAGATAGCCAAGATTTGTCACACATTCTTCGCTCGCCAATCGGTCATGGCCATGCGCAGCATGCGGTGGATATTTACATAGCCGGAGAGGCCAGGCACCTGCTCTTTGGAAGGGGTGTTGGTCATGTTGAATAACTGAACCATGTACTTCCAGTCGCCTTTGAAGCTCATCACAAAGAACCGCAACGTAACTACCTTGAGGCTGTTTGAAATCTAAAAGATTCAAATTTCGAATTGAATCAAATTTATTTTGGAACAACTTTGCTCATGGAACAAAAAGTAACCAACATATATAATGGTCTAAATGTTTCAGATTGAGGGCTTCATCAGAGGCCACATCGCGGACACTCACCCCATCAGTATATAGTTTGTTCATTCTGTCCACAATAATCCCCGCTGCAGCTTGCAGTGTCAGATTAACACCATCTTCATTGAACACATACATGCTCGATGGGATGGTGGTGATGAGCATTCTGCTCCTTAGACACAGGGTATTGCGCTCAAAAAAATGCAAATTACCATCAAAATTTAAACAGTAAAAACTGCCAAATAAAACCGTTTTCCTTTTTCTGATGAGGCTCACCCCTGCATCCGAAAGCCAAGGAGACAAGTCCGGTTGGAAGTGAAAGGACATGTAGCTTTCCCCAAGGGCTTGTCCCTCGTCACCTCACATGAGGAGTATCGATCCATATATGGTCCAACAACCAACTATTTCCCCATATGTCTGTATATGAAACCCCTATGTTTTTCAAGTGAGGGATAAATATAAACATTTGCACTTAAGTCATCCCACCCGGTTTGAGTAAAGTAGCCATAGAGTGTCAGGGGAACGGATGTTGTTGTTGAAGTTTCTGCTGGATGCCCTGGAAAATCTTTGAGGATGTTGGTCCAATACTCCTGTATACGCTCAAAGTCAACAAGTAGCTTCAGATACCCCATATCCACCATGGATTGGACCTGAGTTGATTGCCCAAAATCACAAAAGGCCCCATATCCACCATGGATTGGACCTGAGTTGATTGCCCAAAATCACAAAAGGTTCAACCAGTTATTGATTTGGACGGCCCTGATTTACTGGTAGTTGATCAAATATATGTTGTAAAAACTAAGTATCAAACCAAAAGGTGAGGAAGAATAAAAGGCCATTCCTTCATTTCGATGATGGGTTCATCGTCATCGTCAAAACCAGTGGATAGGGGAATCTGCAAATGTTGCAGCTCGCACGGCAGGGCGAAAGAATCGCGAATTGCAGCATTGTGGACTCGAGCTTCATTCTGCCCAGGCCTGGGATTCCACAAGCTCGACATGCTGATGATTTTAATTAATTGGGGTCCCCTATATGCCCAACATCAAAAGATAAAAAGGATTGCTTTGATTGACTAGGTGCTGGTTGAAAATATCATCTCCAAATATTTTTCCAATCGTTTGGGCGTGCCGTAAAGTGGATTGCCCAGTGCCCACACCATGTGCTAACCTGAGCTGGAAGATGCAGATCTATTGGATAAAATTACCGAAGCATGGCTTTGAAAACTGTTGGAAAATCTTTCACTGGGAACCTAATAAGTGGTGGTACTGGTCTCCAAGTGATCCATGGATAATTTCTCAACATCTCTTTGTCCCATATATCAAGGAAACTAACAACCAAAGCTTATACCACAGACTCGAGTTAGGTATCAAGCAACACACCCTGTAACTCTTGCAGTTCAGCATCTCGAAGACCACGCTGCATGGAACCTGCGTAGGGGTGCATATATGCACTTTGAAATTGAACATGTGGTCATGGTTTTTCTGGAACTGCATCGGCAGCATATGTTCATTTTTTTAAACCTTTGCTTTCTACCACGTCTAGCTAGCCTTTGACATCGAAAGGCTTGTGCAGTGAGGTTATCCCCACAAGCGTCTTCGATCATGAATCGGTTTGGCCACACGTACAAAAACCATGCTCATGGAAAATATTTTTGGAGCTGGCCATAGCATCACGTGTGTGGCCACCCAAATTTCTGTGCGCATGCTGACCCTAACACACCCAGCTGGGACAAAAAGGTGGGCTATCATAAATCCCAAAACTGGGCTAGTTTCGCAATTTTCCAAACATCCTTAGTATCCCAACCCTATGGTGTGTTCACGGCCAACCAATCCACCCCAGGGCCACGTGTAGATCCATCCCCGCACTGTGGAAAAACAATTTTAACTATCACATGCGACTCTTGTGAAAAAAATCATACGAGAAACAAGTTATGTGAGATATCAACCACAGTGTTTCAAAATCTTTAGGATCAGAGGTCCAAAACCATGGTTGCTAAACAGCGTTCACTCCAGCGGCCAGAGCTGTCGGACTTTCGGAGCTCAGAGATCACAGCACGTGCCTGGGCCTTGAAAAGGCGAACAGCGGCAACCTGGGCCAAGCGCTGGGTGGTGGAAACTTGAACATTGTCAAGGGGTATCCATATATATATATATATATGTATATAGGTGATGAATTCCGACTTACTCTTGGGTCTGGTTACCTATATAGCCCCCAAAAAAATCAAAGCCAGGGGGCTGTCTCCTTGACCTCATCATCGAGATGCTTGAGGCTGTCGAAAGATTTGGTGTTCTTCAACCTAGCAGCTGTGGTGAAAGGTAAACCATTGATGTTTAAAAACAATAAGTAAGTGTCATAGTGTTTCAAAAAAATGAGAGATTTGAAATGGACAGTTTTTTGTACAACGAATTCATTCTGTTGGGAATGATGCATGCAAATTCGATCATGCGAATAACTATGCAATGGGTAAGTATATAGGCACATATCTGACAGACGCTGATTTCATGGTATATATGCCAGCTATTAATGGCTGAAGATGGACAAATATCCATGCTAAACTCCACATCCCAGATGCTCAGTATGGAAATCCTCAAATCGCTGCTTGTACTGTTGCAAGGTCTTGCCAAGGTTGTTCCCCGATGGCAAGTCCACCACAAATGCGTTGCACTGGTTCATCTCCTTCTTGAGAGATACACCTAAGTAGGATGGGCTTGGGGATACATATTCCTATACGGTGTATATACATATATATATATATATATATTATAGGGTAATATATACAGTATAATTGAATGTTTGAGGCATATATATATATAGTATCAAAAGTTGTATTGAGTACCAACCTGTTGACCACCCATGATTTTTTGTTACGCCCAAAAACTCAAGGAAGCTCGCAATGATTCCTCAGTAGCCGGTCTTTCCTCTTTCAACCCTGCCGCGGCTTTAGCCTTGGCTTTCGCCTTCGCTTTTGCTTTTGGAGCACGACCTGTACGGTGGAAAGACCATTTGATTGAAAAATGCAAATATGATCCCATGCATTCCCACAGCTAGGATATGATATTTTTTAGATATATTTTTTGTGCGCATATTTATATGCGTGTGTGTGTTTGAGGTACTATAGACAAAAAATCTAGAGACCACACCTGGTCCCGGTTCAGCGTCTGCAGCAGACTGAGCTTCAGTAACCAAGGCTTCGAGGTTGGCAGGGTTAGCTGCAGCAGCCGTACTGGGAGTCAAGGGAAGGCCCATTGCATCCAAAGCCCCCCCAGCAGTGCCCCGCACACGGATCTCACTCGTCTGGCCTTGTTCGTCTCTGTTCAGCCGGGTCCTCGAGGTTTCAACCCAGTAAGAAGTCAACTTTGCAACTCCTGGAGCATCTTTGTCAGGAATTCCACCACCTCGAGCAACCACAGCACGAATTTTTTCTATGGGGATTTTCCTCTCAAACATCTGTTGAATGGTGAGGCATTCCTCATTCCCATCAACCCTTTGCAAGTTCCTGCGGTGTAGCACCAAAGCACTTTCACACGCGTTCGCGTTCTCACCTGTGAGCACCCACTCGCGCAGCACCTTCAAGCGATCCTGCGCAACAAAAAAAAGTCATGATCCGTAAAGAATTCACAAAAATATGTTTTGTGAAAACCAACTGCTTGGGAACTCATGGAAAAACATGGTTTAACACCGCGTTTTTTTAACGGGGTATCCTTGTTGTTTCCTTCCCACATCTTTGCCATGTGCGGGAAACTGGCCATGTTGGATTCAATCAGTCGATCTAATCGCATACCCTCTTTTTTGTGCGTGCTCCAGTTGATTTTGATCTCAGCTGGCGCACTGGGAGGTGCAGAGCTGTCAGACTTGAGCTGTCGCAAAACCAGGCCTTCCACCTCAAGCTCTTCTGGGGACCTTTCTGTGGTATCAGATAACGTGTCAGGCAGGGTCCCTGGCTCTGGCGGTGCATGTGCCCCCTGGGATCCCTGAGGTGTACCCTCACTGGTTGCCACAGGTTCCACAGGTTCCAGCTCCTTCAGCATCGCCTCAGTGTTTTTGTTGGGTTTGTCCTTGGGGGTCTCAGTTGGTCCAGGCAGCGATGCAGGTACCACAGGAGGTTCAGTAGGAACTTCAGCCGGAGAAGCCTAAGCACATGCGCACACATGACACACATACTATAGATATCTATAATTATATGTAACTCATTTTTCAAACATATGTTACAAGCAACCCTTGAATAGAGTACACCAGTTTGAGTTTAGTAGCCGGTGATCCAGCAGCCAATACTGAAACTTCAGCCCCTGGGCCAGTCAGTTTTGTCCGGCGTAACTCTGGTCGTTGGTTCAAATCGTCAATCTGAGCCAAAGCTTCACGAAGTTGACGTTGCAACTCTGCGTTTTGGCTTTGCAGCCACTGAGCATCCATGGGGGTAACAGCATCAGCACCAAGCCTGAGACGAGACTTGCAACACTGACCTTGGGACAAACCGTCAATCTCTATAAGTACATATTTTTGAGATTTTTTCCAATCTTCAAAAAGCAAAAGGAACAGTCTTCAAGATGTATCTTCTGAGAAACGGAAGAGTTGTGACTGAACAGATCGACCTGGCATCACCTTGATCAGCTTCACCGGGTGTCACCGTCTTGTAGGCTTCAAGGAAGGTGTCTCCAGACCTGAGAACACAAAGCATGTATAAATACGAAAGGATATGAGACGTCTCAAACAAAACCATCCCAAAATTCCCAAACATTTTTTGGTGGTGACCCAACATGCTGAAACTCAACTGGTGCACAGAAGTGTTCCCTGTGAATCTTGTCGCTGAACATCCGGCTGTCCTGGTACCGTAGGAGGTGCAGCTGGCACTGAATCCTTGGGTTCCTCAGCAGGTGTGGGTTCCGTAGGTGCAGGTACTTCAGAAGGTGCGACCAAAGGCTGTGGTGTCGGGGCAGCAGGTTCAGGTGGGGAAGGTGCCGGAGTCTCCAAGCCCTGCCCCCACCCATCAGGTGTCTCAGAGTCCACTATGTCCGTCTCGAGATCTTTCGCTACAACTGGGACCACAGTCTCCTCAGGTGGCTGGATGGGCGGTCTTCGTTTTCGGGGAGGCTCATGAACAACCTCCTCCTCCTCCTCCTCTTCAACCTCGGCCTCAACCTCGGTGTCAGCCTCCTGCTCTGACATCTCCTCATCTTCATGGACTTCTCCAGTCCTTATTTAATCAAACACCCCCCCTATATACACACACCTTATACAAAACTTGAAGTAACTATTTTTACAAAAGACTGCCAATACAAATGAAGAGCTTAAGACTTGACATTGCACTTTTTCCTGCACGTCGACTCTTTCGACGACGAGGCTTTGACTTTGACCCTGCTGCCTTTGCCTTTGCCTTTGCTTTGGGCTTTTCGGCCTTGGATCCCTTGGGCTTCGCGCTTGAACTTGCTTCCGATTTGGGTGAAGACTTTGCCTTTGACTTTCCAGCTGCTTTTGCAGCCGTCTTAGCCTTTGTTTTTGCCTTTGCCTTCAAGGCTCCTGCCTCCTTGCGCTGCTTTTTTTTGGGAACCACCGACTCCTCAACAGCATCAATTATCTTTCTCTGAGCTGCCTGGGCTTCAAGTGGAATATGGACTTATTTTGCAGCAAGGTTCAGAAACAAAATTAGTGGCCTATGGAAGAAAAAACTTTGCATTTTTTTTCTAGATACTGAAGGTGCACCCATCACCAGCTGCAACACGGTACAAGCTTCTTTCTTGGCCAACCCCATGTGCAACATCACTTCCGGTAGCTTCTCCCATGAAAGCTCTGAAGGAGGAAAAGGAAGCTTCCCCAAATCAGCCATGATCAGAAACGATCAGAACGCAGCAGCTAGCTCCAAGCAAAATGTCTACGTATGTTCACGTGAAAACTTACGCGCGCTTCAGAATCAATGATCGCAAGAATTTTTGTGAAAATCCAGGAAAATCCATGAAAATCCATGAACGTTCAGGACCCCAAAAGCACTTTGAAAACCATTTGTCCGTGAAATTCCGTGAAAAACGTGAAAGAACACATTGCGTGAAAATCCGTGAAAATCCATGAAAATCCGTGTAACATTTGATACACAATTAGAAAAATATGAACTTTTGATTTTCACGTTTTTCACGGTATTTTCCTGTACATTTGGGGTTTTTTCACGTACAAATCCCGGATTTTCCCGGTAATCGCTCCGATCAGATTTTGTTGGCGCATCCAATTTTTGGATTCTCCTAATTGTTGCTCATATTTCTGGACATGGCAAATGTGCTATTTGATCAGCATCTAACATGCTAGTCACTTTGGCAGCGGGTCAGACCACAGCCATATATGTGGATCACACCACAAAAATTCCAAGCAGCAAATTGTGAGCCATCTTAAAGGTGGCGGACATCCAAAGTTCGAAGTATATCTGCCTGGGCCACATATACGGTCCATATATATTTGGGTAGGCGATACTGGGGAATATAAATTACCGTAAATCTGTATATATATATATATATCTCTCTCTCTCTCTCTATCTATTTTTTGAAACAAATATATATGATATCCTCCATGTTATGGGACATCCACCCTGAATTCGAACATTGCCTGCACCAACTCAGGCGAGCAGCCCATCGCCCACGAGGCTGCATATCTCGATTCTTGGCCAAATACATGAGAGCAGCAGGCAGCTCTGCCTGGGCTGACTGGGGGTATCCATAATATTATAACGTACATAAAAGTATACATTTGCACATATATATATATATATATATGTATGTATAACCCAACTTAATTTGTTTCCTGGATCGATTACAAACATTCCTCATAACCATGAAAAATAGATCAAGTTGCATCTTCCCACATATCCCCAAGACCTGCTCGAGCAGCCCCATGGCCAGCCAGCATATAGTGATCCCTGAAGATCTCTGCATCACCACGTGATAGATCCAGGTGAGCATCGCATTTTGGGTCGGGAAGTTTCTCCTCGGTGGTGCATGTATATAATTATATTGATTTCTTTTTGCAATGAGTATCCAGGACATCAGAAAACCTCCATGGTCTACTTCCGTTGGAAAACAGAAACAGCAATAAATAAGATTCAACACAAGAATCATCCATTGAATCCACCACAAGCTGTCCGATCAAATGTCCAAACTCCATGGAATAATGCCTGAGCTGGTCACCCTTTGCGCTTTGGGGTCATATTGGGGATTTGGGTTAATGACTGTAACATATATACCCCATTATTTTTATAAAATATGTACTTACCGTGTGTTGCGTTTTCTGTTTGTGGCCCGGATTCAATAAGATCTGTGGATTAAACAGTGTTTGTTTCTTTTGGTCGGTTCATCTTTGATATCAAATATTACAAGTCGTGAAAAAACAGGCTGCCAGAAAACTTACACAGGATTTTTTTGCTGACAAACTGCTGGGAGGCTTTCAGTTTACCTGGAATTCCAGCATGTCTCCGAATCCCGTTTTGGTCCACATATTTGCGAACTAGAGGATCCCCAGGCAACATCCTCATATCAGCCCGGGAGAGATAGCCAGCAACCCGGTCCACCTCGCTCAGGATCCGCTTGCTATTGGAAAACAATCGATGACGCTTGGCTGTAGATCCGCCGATGGCCCCCATCCAGAAGCTGCAGCTCCATACCTGCAAGTGCGAACAGGGTTGACTGGCTAAAGGGGTAAAGATAACATATTAGGTTTCTAGCTACAAACTAGAAATATGCCAGGGAGGTGACAATTGTAAATTATTTAATTATACGTACTACTGTAACGTTCGTGCATATCTACGACATGATGATGGCCGGTAAGATATTTGTTGACAGGATGGTGTCCTATACAAAGATACATGCAGATTTCATCGAGGAAGTAAGTGAAAATTCATATGCCGAAATTCTCACCCACCCCAATCACAGCATGGACATGCAGGGAAAAACCAAAAAAGGGTTCACTGGTTGTCAAAGCTACCTGGATGTACTGGATTAACTCCTGCCATCTGGGATGGAAAGGAAAAGATGTTCCATCAGGTTGTTCCAGCACAAACCGACACCCACGGGATACAGCAACATATATGAGTAAACAGCATCGACTCGCCAAGAGGTTCCCCAATTTCACGAAACCATAGCCTGTATTTCCAAGTGGAAATAGGTGGTCACGACCATGTGTTCCACGCGACCTGGTTCGAGAAAGTTGCAGGGTAAGAATAAGGATAATCTTTATAAGATATGGATCCTGCAATATATTTAAGTATTTATATATATATATACATATGGCAGGATTTGGAATTAAAATGCCCCATATATTATATATTTGGTCTTGAATGGAAACGCCTACTGTCAATTTTTTTCACTGGAGGTTGTCATTTATAGACATGTTTCCCCTGAAAAAAAAACATATATCGAAATAAAAAGGTGACATCTTCGGACCCTGCATTCGTTAACTGCTGAATTTCCCACGACCGCCCTGCAGATTTATGAGGCAAGCCCGAAACTCAATTGGAGTGATTGTTATTTTTCCCCATTGCGCTCGTAACATATTTTACAGCAGAAGGACCATTGGCAAACATGTCAATTGATGGCCATATGTGTGTGTGTTTGATCTTGATGGAAACACAATACAAGTATATATATATATTATTGTATTTAGATTCATATACTAGATAGATAGATATAGATGGCTAAACATGTACATATATACATATGTATGTATGTGCACGCTCAAGTGCCCAGGAACATTTTGGAAAAACTGTTGCAGCAGAGCCCAAGCCATAAAATCCCTCCCACGGCCAATCGTCTAACTTCGTTCACCGCCAGCCTCAACACAGCGAGGTTTGAGATATTATAGGGGGTAGGCACTTCCAAAACTCGTTTTCCAAAAACAAACCGAATCAGGGACCAATATGGGGATTGCTTAACCGAATCAGGGACCAATGGGGATTGCTTTCTCCATTTTCCATATTCCCAGATTTAAAAACTATATGCCCAAAGCCTTTCAATCACGGGTGATGCAGCTTGGTTCTTCTAGTTGGGACACTTTGCCACTAAGGTACAAAAAGCCGCTTGTACTTGCAAGGTCCATGTAGCTAGACTGCACGATGTCGTGGGAAGAGCCCTTTAGCCCATGGTTCATCAGCCCCAAGCTGACACATCCCATGCCAGCAAAGAGTTCCACATACTGTTGATCAGCATCTTGGGGGATGGATGTATGAAATGCCAGCATGACCACCAGGATTATCAACCATGGGGGTGATGAAACACGCATCATCTCTGGCACAACCATGGCTGCAAAAACGAAAGTGTCTACAGCACGATTTGTTCGAAACAAATTTGATCATGAATTGGTTTTCACCTTCCAGCAAATGATAAAAAACCACCTTTAATTGCATGATGTTTGACCACTATTAATTCAAGCTCCGCTGCCCCCTGGACCATGATAGCAGCCAAGGTTGGATTCAGGCCTCGATATATCTCGATATTTGCCAAAACAACTGAAATATGCCGAGGAGAGAGGGCTGCTTACTCATTGATTTTGGAATCGTCTTGGCTGGCGGTCGATAATTCAGATTGTGACTAATTATCATGATTATGTAGCACACCCATTGCGTGCCGCCACAGGTATTCAACACACTTGTGGCTCCGCTGCAGCTGTGAGCGCGATCATGCACACATAATGTCATTTCAATTCAGAAAACGTTTCTGTAAAAAACTGTTGTTCGAATATCTCCTACTGGCTCACCCCTGGCCGAAATGCAGTTGGCTAATTGGAAAAAAATCCATGGGCCAATCTCCAAGTGAAAAAAGACACATCAACACATGTCATACATGTTGGGCTCATCCCAGACTTCCCAATTACTCATTGGTGGTTTCTTTTGGGTTTTTTATGGGTCATATTATCGGGTACAAGAATTTACTTGGCCCATGGATTTTCAGTGGCTCCCTTTGGCAAAAATCTACGCCTCTTAAGCTCAGAGACGCTCAGGCCGCTGAGAAGGCCACATCTCTCTGCACTAAAAGCCCAAGTTGAATTTGCAATCTGGTAAGAATGGCCATCATCACGAAGTCGTTTGATGAAAGCTTTTCGCTTTGCTGCATATTCAGCAGGCACATACGAACCAGATTCCTTTTGGACCTTCACCTTGGCCTTTAACTTTTTTTTGGGTTGTCCTTTCTTCTTCGAAGCATTCTTACCCAACTTTCGTTGTCCCTTGTTTCCTGCAGCTGGCTTTTCAACCAGCCCCTCAACAGCATGACCTGCATCATCATCATCACCATTGTCATCATCATGGTCCTGGGTCGTGTCACCCTTCTTCGAACGCGCCTTGTACTGCTTTGAGATCGGAAACGGTTTCGGTGCCTGGTCGCTGTTCTTGATGCTCTGGAGAACCTTGGGAAGGCTCACAATGATTAAGTATATATTTTCTTACATCTAAAAAAGGTTTGGTCCTATTGAGGCAGGGTGAGTTAAAAACACCATAAACAACAATGCTTCAAACAAGAGACGAAACTGGGCAAGACAACGCTGGACTTTGGCTTCTCAACACATTTCACATTCTCATGTTTGCCCTGACCATTTTCTGGAGTACCCTGCTGAGCTTTCTTCGCATTCAAAAACTGCTGCGCCAACTGCAAAAGCTTTTGGTCATATTGGGATTCACAGACTGGCTCTGGTGTTTGATCTTCTGGAAATTCTACAAGGCTGAGTTCCCCCAAAGATTCAATGGTCTCCGTATCGGAACACTCCTCCTCAGAGTCCTCGTCATCTTTGTCTTTGCCCATAACACCAGGTGTAAATTCCTGAGGCTGATTTTGAGCAAAATCGTGAATATGCCCTGGACAGGAGCCCATCGATATATCTATCTATATGCTGCAGACGCTATGGTGGGTATTTATGCCTGCACACCGCTACTTGGTTGGAAAAGGGACCCCAATATACCAGGTTCCATTTAAATCGATGTTGCTATCTTGAATACTTGAAACTTGATCCATTATGAAAGGGGGCACAACCACACCATACCATTCCTTAACACAGTCGTTGGAGACCCTAGGACTGCCAATGACGTTTATGTTGTTTTGAAAAATCCTTGTAATGGAACCTGTTCTGACACGATAAAACCTGTTTAGAATCTGCTGAAATCTAATTCCGGGACAATTTAAAAATGGCATTTCCCCCACTAGAAGTTCCAAGGGACAACTACGCCAACAAGATCCTTCTTCAATTTGTTGATCTTGGTCAACTTTGCAGTGGCTGCACGTTTGTAGTTCCGCCGGAAGGCACTTGCCTTATAGCAACGGGGTATACATAACATGATGCGTGCAAAACATTTGATCTATAAAAATATCCTCTCATATATCTATATACTATAATAGATAATTATATTCTAATGCTACCTGCTACGTAAACATTTTTTTGAATATCTGTAAATATATATGTGTATATATGTATATATTGGTAAACCTCTGGGAACCCAGGGATGGATGAAAAAACGAAATAGAGCATAAAAATGCATTGAACATATGCAGGATACCATGCGACGAAGGGCCAATGCCATCTTAAGTGACCATTTTTGTACGCACTCCATTTCAACTTGCATTCCCCGAGGAAGGAGTTTGAAGTCAACATAGAATTTCAATATTGACTTTTGGAAGACCCTTGCGGAGTAGTAGCCCATTCCCCGACTCACCATCATCACAGCTTTGATGGCCTGGTGCGAGTTTGAATCCATCTAATGAATTGAAACACACCAAAACAAACGGTTAAGTCACAAAACCAAGTATACCTATTTATAAATAAATATATATATATATACAGAAGTGGCAGGATATGAAACAAAAAGATTTCCTATTTTGTTCGAACAGCACCAGCCTGAGTGTTCCCGTTGATGTCCTTCAAGGCCACCCTTCTGTTTTTAAATAGTTTCCCTGAGACATCACACAGAAATGAGAAGCCGCAGCTCCTCAGCTGCTCCTGCTTCCCAAAGGCGGCCGCATATTTGGCAACGGCAGTTGGGTCCACTGGTTGTGGCATGGCTATCCGATGGCCAGGTGGTGCAGAAGCCCATCCAATGATAGTGTCTTTTCTCACTTGGGTGACTGCTACCACGTCTCGGAATATTGTATATGTGGAATATATATATATGTATATATATAGTGATATCATGTGATATAATTTTTGAAATCAGTTTTGGGATCCTGAAGATTTCTGTTCTAATATATGGCATTCAAAAAAAACCTTGGAGCCTTCAAGTTAGGAATCAACTTAGATGCATCAGCATGAAGGTGCAGGAACCCAATCCACACTTAACAGCTTTCGGGCGGTCAGGGGGGTAGCACCTGTCATCGAAGAATTTGTTTGCCATAGCGCCAGTGGCTCCTGCATATCGGGCGAAATCTTTCAGAATGAAAGTGGGTTCAAACAAGTTTCATGACTTTTTCCAGGAAATTTGAATGAGGACAAGATAAATTTCACTCCTGACGTTCAGTGAAAAGTGAAAGGAATTTCCTGAACTACTTATTGCCCCGAAATGAAAATGCAGATTTTCAAACACTTACGGAAGAACTTGGAACCACAGAATCGCAACTCCACCCAAACAAAGGTCGTGAAATTTCCATGATTGAGTACATTGCCAAGAAAACCCAATCCTAAAGAATCCCCTAGCTGTCCTGCTTTGGCATTCCAGAATTTGACGATTTCAATGAAGCCACCTGCATGCTGGCAGACCCAAGGGTTAACTGTTCACCTTGTTCTTTGAAAAGAAGTGCATGGGTATATTTATATATATATATGATGTCATTTAGATGATGTTCAATCTCAATTTGAAACCCACATAAGCACCCGAATTCAGCATCCACCCAATCTCGCAGCCCCAATTCGGAAGCCTCCGCGGCCTAAGGAATTCGAATGGTCCTGCAGAGCACCAACGATAGTGCCACTGGCCACTGGTCTTGAAAAAGGTGGATGATCCCCTAGTAGTTTCACAGGTAGATAAGTATATATATATATTAAAGTCTAGTCTAGTATATATTGTAATTGTTTTTATGGGATTTGAACCCAATTGGATGTAAAACATTTTTTCACCAGTAAAAAACATATGAGGGGTGATGCAATCCAGCATGAAGATCCAAGCACTCCTCCCACTGCGCAGTTGATCCCACAATCCAGCTTGAAGTTGGTGTAGTCCACCTGGGCACCATGGTTCGCTAGACACATCCCGAGCTGTTTCATGAATCCTGCTGCTATATATCCTCTCGCCAAATTGCCAAGGAAGATCGCAGTATATATTATATATTTCTGTCTGAGCAAACTCCTACGAGATGAGGGCCGCAAAGTGGCCAGGGTTTCCAGTGCAGGTGGACAGGTGGACAGCTTGCCACGGAAAATAAGTTGATGGTCTTCCACTCCCGAATTTTTTTTTGATTTGGGAAAATCCTTGGAAACTCAAGACGTCTTCAAAAACATCCCTGGATATATCTTGGGATCCAAACTGCCAGCACCGCCGGAGAATTCTCTGCACGAAAAAGGCCACCCGCCATGGATCAGAGGGAAAGCACGGAAAGGTTTGTGGACAACCAAGTTTTGTTGTTTTGGATGTTTTGGTTGGAACCTTTTTTTTTTTCGCCAAATTGGGTTTGAAAACATATGGAGGGACTGCCTTGCAAACAAGGTGTTGCTAGGTTTTGTTTTGTTTACCACTGTAGATTAAAAACCCTCAGAATCCCTCAGGGCATTCACCCTTGAATAGGTGCAGGGTGCGCGGATGGCGAGTAGTCCAACCACCAAAAAATAAACAGTTAAAATTATCGTCCAGGTTTTGTTTCCGAATTGTCACCCCAACAATATATTATATATATATTATATGTGTATAATTAGTAGAAATACTTCTATTATATACTGAGTGCACAGATCCTACATATATACTGTACATATTGTATACAAAACAGGCTCAAATGGCCCAAGCAGCTCGCCAAAACAAAGTAGGCAGTGAGAAGCCTTGTTTTTTTCACATATCAAACCACCAAAAAAAGGGCTTTGTAAGAAAACCAAATTTTCACGCATTTTCTCGGCCAAATGGCCCATTCGAACTTCTTAGGTCCAGCTAGGTACAAATGATCATTCGACCCACGTACCAACTTAGTTTGTACAAATGACACTCTAGGTTCCAATAGTGTTTCAATTCAACATTGTCCTTTTAGACCTGATATGTTCCCACTGAGGTACCTGGTGCATGGCACCAACGAGAAAAACCTTCCGTCTATTCGGAGACTCGGCCTGCTTCCCGGGGGTACCCGTGGTGGAGGAAACCATGTCCACCTATCGACTGCCTTTTAAGCACCATGAATGACGCCTTGCGTCCAGAGTCCGACTGCATCCTGATCGCTATAGGCCTGGAGCCGTTTCAGATTTAAATCATGTCATTACTCAGAGTCGTTATGTTCTGACCGATCAAACCATACCGTTTAGCAGGTTTTGTGGCGTCTGGTCCCTGATTGACCGTGCTTGGATCGATATTCCGGAACCGGCAGAACTCAACAGAATGAATGATTATGACTCTGATATTGACCTTGCCATGCATATTTGTCACCATCAATTGTATTGGGAAAAGAAAAATGAAAATGAACTTGACAATTTTACTTGGACTCGATCTGAATATGTTGAATATGTTACTGAACAGATCAATGATATTCCTACAGCTTCAAAATTTCTCGATTGTTTTAGACAAGCCACAGTAGGACCATCCAGACCTGTCAGACAGACTGCCACTCCTAATGACCAACCACGTGGCCCTCCGGAAACGGATGATGATAGGAAGATCAACGCTCTTCGGCAGGAGATTACTCAACGGTTTAAGGACCATCTCCAGAAAGAGAAGACCAAGGAAGTGTCATCGACCTCCAAGAGCGAAATGCCCAAAAAGAAAATTCAGGCCAAGGCCATGCCTAAGAAGCAGAAAGGTACCGCAGGGACGGTCGAATCTGCAGAAGCATCCGATTCCCGATCTGCCGCATCTGCGGCGCGAGGACACCGGCGTGAATCCGTAATTCGGTCTGCTATAGGCGAGAAACATCAACTCAAGCTAAGGAGCTCTTTAAAGACGCCGAAGCCGCGAAGAAGTTCTTTACAAAATTCAAGAAGGAGACCGATGAACTCGAGTGGTTCCAGCGCCCGTCTGGTCCACAGTGTTGCCACAATTTTAAGGATTGCGGTTGTGCTGAGGCCATGTTTTGGTGTCATCCTTGCGGACTAGCTTTTTGCCTTGAATGCCGTACTAACGGCTTGGCGTGTGATCACAATATTATCAATTATTCATCCGAACTTTCAGCCGGTTTTCTGCCTGACAGCATTGGTTCCAGTGATTCACCTTTCGATATCGAAGTTGATGCTGTTCTAGCCGAATCATCTTATTTTGGTGCAACCAGATCTGAACATGCCCAGAATCGACAAGAAGGTTATAAAGAACTTATTCAGCACCTGAAGGAAGGTCGAACCTGTGGCAATTCTTATTTGCAAAGCTTTGCCAAACACGGTATTGAAATTTTTGACTATACAGGATTCATCTACCGCATGGACGGTGCGAATCGTGTTCCGACTTTGCAAGAGCATTTTATTGATGCACAGGACGAAACACCTTTGCCTATTTGGCGTCCAATGATTTTCTTTAAATATCCAGAAGGTCCTTGGTTGACCGACACCGAAATTTTCCGTTTATTGGAACTTTTTAGGTCTTGTCTCCTCGGAAAACGAGCAGTCCAAGGTGTTGCCAAGCGCACCAAGGAAAACATCCACGAATTTCAGAAGGATACGTACCAACTTGGCATTTTAACTTTGAACCTTCTTTGGTGCCGAGTTCATGTTATAACTGGTTATAACTAAAGTTATACAAGAAGTTATGAAAAGTTATGAAGTGAAGAAAATATCAACAATTTTAGCACATTTTTATAACTTAGAAAAATTGAAAAAACACTTGTTTTTAGTGTATCGAAAACAATAGTTTTTCTAATTATAGCGGTTGAGCCGCTTCGAAGTTGTTTTTTTAGAAAAAATCGCGGTTTTCATCGCTTCCATGGCTGAGGGAATGTGCAACTGGTTTTTAAACAGAACAGGCCACTGTGGGAGCGCGCCTTTTTAGGTGCTTTATGCACCTGCAATGGGTTAGTTTGCTCTTTGCAATCTCACCTTTGCAGTTTCTTTTCTTTTTACAAAGACCAAAAAAAAAACAAGAAACAAAAAAAAGACCCAACAAACTGCATCTGACCCCCTCCCCTTGGGGTGTGCAATCTTGTTTTTTTTTGTTTGTTTTTTTTTGGTTTCTTGGTGTTTTGCTTTCTTGGTTCGTTGTTATTTTGAGGGACTGGCAAAAAAAAGTGGCAGGATCTAACTCTTTGCCACTTTTCCCCCCTTAGGCATTGCAAATTTGTTTGTGGTTGTTTCTGCTTGCTTTAGGTCTCTGGTTCCATTAGAAACCATGTAAAAACCAAGGAAAAACAGGTATCCTTGGGGGAAGGTTAGGGGCTTGGGGCATGGATTAAGCAATTTTGTTTTTGACTTATTTTTGAAAACATGCCAGAAGACTATGAAAAAACAAAGGCAGCCAATGAGTACGTTTTTTGATATTGACATTGCTGACTATAAACCCCAGTTTCCCCTAGTACATCCCAATATATCCCACCCATATGGGAATGTCTCAAAATGAGGCGAGCCTTTTTTTTTTAAGTAGCGTTTTGGGGGTCAAAAAAGGCGCGCCTCATTTTGAGACGTCCCCATATACCACAGAGGTCTTTACAGGCTTGGGTGAGGGACTGAGGGATTGAATTAGATTAGATTGGATTAGATTAGATAGATTGGATTGGCTTGGCTTGCTTTGGATTGGATTGGATTGGGTGAGGGACTGGATTGGATTAGATTAGATTAGATAGATTGGATTGGTTTGGCTTGGATTGGATTGGGTTGGGTTGGTTTGGACTGGATTGGATTGGATTAGATTAGATTAGATAGATTGGACTTGACTGGATTGGATTGGATTAGATTAG